GGATTTAGATTTTTATCAGAAAGCTTTTTTTCAGTAGATAATAAAAATAGTATTTTTGCCCAGATTAAAGGCTTTATTGTAATTTATTTGCCTCGCCATTTTCAGCATCTTAAAAATGAACATTTTAGAACTTTTCAATAAATAGTTTTAACAACAATGCTAAGTATTATTATTATATAATAAACTTTAATAATCTAATTAATTAATTAAATTCATTATATATGAGATATTTAAAAACATCAAGAATTAATTTTAAAGGAAATTGTAATTAGTAAATTCAAAATTCTAAAAGAAAAATTCTAGATTTTAAAATTGTCATGTTAATTTAAATCAAATAAATTATGAGCAAGAGAATAAAAGCTTTGATTAAAAGAGATGATAATTGTTTGGTATTAATTTTAATAAAGATTAATCGAATGTATTAGCTGGATGTGGTCAGGACATTAAAGTATTTCAAAATCAATAAGGGAAATTGAATCATGTTTAAATGGTAAGTGAGCATAAAGACTCTATGTGAACTTTAAATTTTTTGAAAAAAAAAAATAATCTTGTATCTGGAAATTATGATAATTCAATAATAATATGGTAGGTGATTGGAATTAATTAATGGAACTGTTAATAAAAATAAAAGGGACATTCAATATATATGTTAATCATACTGATGATTTAATTATAACAGATAGTTTAGATAATAAGAAAATCAAATTTTGGAGGAAATATATCTAATGATTATGTAAAAACTCATAACTAAGTGATTTTAAGTATACACTAAGCTTATATGAACAGTATAATAAATTTATTTCTTGTTTAATGGATTCATAAATATCAGTCATAGTATAGTCAAAGTTTGATAAGTAAGGAAATAGATAATGATTTAAAAATGATAATTTATTTACATTCTTATGTAAAGAATAAAGTATATGTATGTAATGGAAACTCGGAGTAAATATTAAAGGAAGACTAAGGATTATAGGTAGGCTAAGGAAATTTAATTAAAGTGTGGTGCAAGTACTTGATATTGTTTATTTCCTAATCATAAATTAATGTCAAATCGCCTTGAAGAATAAGAATGGCAAGAATGTAAATTAAATGAAAAAGAAAGAAAATGGTGATTTTATCATTTTATAATCTATTGAATTTGGAGATTGTAATACTTATAGATATTTAACAGATGACGGAAAATATTTAATTCTAATGAGGATTTATCTTATAGCTCCTAGAAATCTATTCAATATCATTTTCATTATGAAGGATATTTATTCTTCTCTTTTTTTTTTAAGGCAAATATACTGATAAAGGTATTTAATTATTAATAATCCATTTTAATAATTTTAAAATTTAATCATAGTTAAGAAACTTACTCATCAAATGAACTTCAATTATTAAATTAAATTATATTCTAGTTTCCATTTTAAAAAAAAAATTTAATTTTGTATCATCCACTTTTTCTAGTTCATTTATCCATCTCTCCTTCCTTAATTTTTTTGTTCATTGTTACAAAATAATATTGAAGTCAATCTTTTGGTTTTTGTTCCTAAAACTTCTTTATTAATTCAAAAGCATGAAATTATTAGGCAAAATAATTTTGAACTTTCAAATATTTAGTATTATTTTTTTAATTCCTTACTAATAAATATTTTAATTTGCTTTAATAAAATTTATGTAATTATATTTATTATCATTTATAAGAAT